ACAGAATTTATTCTCCAATCCCCCAGTCAACCCCTGAAATTCACCATTTTCCTTCAAACTTTCTAAGATTACAGCCAACCTGATTCAGTATTTGTGATATACACAAATATACACACTTCGCAATGTTTCATTATTTAGTCATTGATGCGATTCTATGGCACTGACCTATATGTGTTTGTCATCAATATTACGACTACCTATTTGAAATTGTAAATCACAAGTAGGAACTACAAAGCATTCTGTATTACAGGTAATATTTGTAAGTAGACACTTAAACAATTTCTATGCAAATTTAAGAATGACCCTTCTCCAGTTAAAACTGACTCTGGGCCTTTGTACCATTGTTCTGCCCAGGACACACTTCACATAACCCCATATTCCAATCGTTCTCATAATTCAGTTTAAGTACCCCCCTCCTCAGAGGTCTTTCCTGACTATATTCAGTGTACTCAATAAACCACAACCTTATTTTTGTTTTGTTTTCCTTCAAAGCACCTATCACTACCCAAAACACTGTTTATATTTTTGTCTTTCTCCCCATTATAAAGAAAACTCCACAATAATGGGTACCCTGTCTTTTTTGCTCACAATTGCATCCCCTAAGCCTATAGTAGTTCGTGGCTCACAAAAGAATATTTATTGGGCCTCCCCTGGTGGCGCAGCAGTTGAGCACTGGGCTGCGAGGCTGCCAGCAGCTTCTGCAGTGCCGGTTTGTTCCCTGGCCGCCGGCAAGTGTCCCACCAAAAAAAAAAAAAAAACAAAGAAAAAAAAAAGAATGTTTATTGAATATTTTTTAAATGTTTATTGAATGAAAAAACTACCTGGAAATGAAAAATGGGATATCATGGGGAATGCCTTGAATCAAATGTAGGAAAGGATATTTTTTATCTTTGCTCATTTGGTACAGACTGGCATTCAAAAAGAATGCTTTGACAAGATGAACTTAGCTATGCAAAGAATATTATGAAGAGCTCCATGTGAAATCCAACCTCATTGGTATTTTAGACACTAATTACATACCGGCCTTTTAATGCATTAAAAAGTCTGATTCCATCCGCAGGACCACAGATCTGAATTACATCATCTCTAGTTAGTTTCAATAAATCTGCTCCTAGAAAATAGAAAAATGGGTGATAAAGGCAAAGATTCTCTTTGTTAATGATTATTAAAATGGGATCTACTTCAAGGACACCCATTACTAGTAGGTTACAGCCCATACTCTTCTGCATGGTGTATAAGGCCTTTCCTCCCTACCCCCCCACCCCCCCCCACCCCGCGCAGTGTCCTGGTCCCTGCATCCTTTCTCATCTCAATTTCCATTCAAATTAACTACTGCACTTAACCCTATTATTTCACCATTCTGATGTCTTCTTAACGAGTAAGCTGTTCTCCTGTCTAAACTATCCTTCCACTATCTGACAAACAGATCCCGCCTCATCATTCAAGATTCAACTTACACATCACACGTGTTCCCTACTGTATTACAACTACTCATTTACCTTTTGGGGCAGTGATATTTTGATTTGATTTGGATTTTTTTTTAATATTAGATGATGACTGATCAGGAACTACATCATTCCATTTGTGTATTCCAACCAACCACATAGAGTATACAGAAGGAGCTAAATAAAAGTCAATGTACAAATAGAACAGAATGTGATAACAAGGGAAAATTTCAGAATACCTGAAAATGTTCCTTACTAAATATTATATGAAATACACATTCTTAAGTGTTATATAGAATAAGTATTTTAATCAAAATGAATTTAAACTAAGAGGTCTTTTTTTTTTTTAAAGTATTTTGTAGCAGTTGCAGCTGGTGAGAAAGTATAAAGAGTTCTGTGACACTCATTTAATCAGGAAATTTCACTAAGGGCCTCCCTGGTGGCATAAGGGTTAGGTCTCAGCGCTACCATCTTGAAGGCCCACTGCAATAGTCTGAGTTCGATCCCCGGCCAGGAAGCTAACCCACATATGGCGCAGCAGACCCCTCCTATCTCGCCCGCTGCTCCCCTCAGCAGTGTATTTCAGTCAATCTGCCTATTCTGCTCCCCACTCTGTCTTAGGTGAATCCTCTCATTTCACCCCCACCCCCGCACCTCTGGCCTGCACCCCAGTTCTATGCAAAAATAAATAAAATATTCAAGAAAAGAAAATTTCAGTAAGATGTCTCTCTCTCTCACATACACACACACCCCCCCGCCCCCCCTTTCACGTGAATGACAGAAAGCCCTAGAATATCAAGGAATATCCTGTGCTGGGGATAGGAGCAAAGAAGTAAATTTAACCTGAGAAGTTTGTAAAAAGCCTTGTGAAGGTAGAAAACCGGTTTCGATGCAACCACTGTTGAGCTTCCTGAGGTGTGGTTGTTGGCAAGAGGTTCTGAAAGAGAGAAAACATTTTTTATTTTTGGTGACTATATAGAATTTTCTCTCACATCATTAGGTAACACAGCCAAACATACCCACACTCAAATAGGCCTAGTTTGCCTGAAAGTCATTTGTTTATACCCCCTCAGTCTTCTCTGACCATGCAAGCTGTCCTTGGAATTCCACATCTTTATTTTCCCCTCTGGACTGTCAGCTCCTTAAATGCCAGTGTCCTGATTACTTGTTTCCTGTCTTTAGTCCCTAGCGTAGTATCTGGTTCACAGTCAATATTCAACAAATGTTTAATGAATGAACAAGTAATACTTCCTCAAAGTTGGGCATTTCTACTAAATTGGACAGTCATCAAAATATTATTAGACATTGCAAATAACTGACATTTAACTTCAGACTTACATCTGTGACTGGAGGGGGTGGCTCTGGCTGGTGGTTTGGTGAACCATTTCTAAAGAAACATTTAAAATGAAAGGATGAGTCCATGATACACACTAGGGTTCATCATCATCTCATTCTCCATCCCCCTTGTACATCTAAAGCTAGAGATTGAAAAGAATCTATGCTCTCTCATAAGAACTCTTAGACCCAATACTTCTATTATTGTTCATCTGATATAAAAACTTTATTTAGGGGAGGGGAACAAACTGTGTTATTTGTGGTATTTTTTATTATTGGAGAAATTGAACAAAATCAACGTTTCAGTAAGTTGGGACTGATGAGATAAATGGCATATGGAATATTTAACAGAAGAAATTTATTAGAATGAAAACCAAAATAAGAGTATAAAAATAATCAGTAACACAGGAAATTAGAAAATTTACGCACTGCAATATGCTCACATACTTTTATAATAAAAAACACAGTAATTATTTTAAAAGCTGCTTCAGAAATTAGTACTGCCTAAGTTGTGATCCAAGGGCTATTGCCATGCCCATGGTTTTCCCTCATACTTTCCTTTGGTCTACAGACTGCCTCTCTCCCCTGGTGTATAGTTTTTTTTAAATGATATTTATTGAGTTAATATTAATTAGTTACACTGTATGTTTTAGGGTACAGGCTACACCCCTACAAATGAATGTTTTCATGGTATTATCACACCATGCTCACCGCCAAAGCACTGATAAACCTTTATCCCAGTCCACTGGGCTACCAAGCCCCCAGCCTTCCCTTTCTGGTAGCCTCAGTAATGAGTACTTATTTTCTGAAACCAAAATTTCATCCTATTAATGATGCCACGACAAGGAGAAGAGATAAAATTTTAAAACAGGACTCAAATGCAACATTGGTTTAAAATTGCCTGTAAGTAAACTGCATACTCCAGGTGGGTGGCAAGATTTTTTTTTCTTTCAAAATAACCCTTTTTCTTCTTTTCTGCCGTAGTTGCAAAATTCAAATTCAGCACTCAAATTAAATAATCTACTTATTTCAGGGCCCTAGTTATCTATTCTTTCTACATCTTCTATTTTATTCTTAATTGTTACATTTTGAATATTTATTTTACCTAAATTAATTAAATACTTTAGGTAGTTGAACATAGAACATATATATAGCTTCAAAAACAAACACTACAACCAACCAATATACTCACAAATTTAGTAGCCTATTTCAAATTTCAATATGGCCTCTTTGGAATACGTATTAAATGCTAAATCAATTTATTGTAACTGGAGTAGGTAGCTATACCAATTTGTAATTATTTATGAAAATAAAAGACAATAAGGCTAAATTAACTGCACCCCCCATAGATAATTGTAAGATTTCATGTTAGCTATCATCTTTAACACTCTTTCCCCAATTATCAAAGATTTGTAATAACTAGGTATTAGGATCACTTTTAATAAATAACAAAACAGGTTTCAGTATTTATATAACTGTTTCCATTCCCAATGACCACTCCTCCAGTGAAATTATGATCAGAAAGTGAAATAGTTAGCAGCAAACAGGTTAGTGGCAAATAGGGAGAAGTGAAAAGCCCAGAAAATCAGTCCATGAATCACTAAAAACTGACCATAAATACTGTATTTTAATGGGAGAAAAAAAGAAGGAGGTGGAGAAAGGGTTACATAAAAAAATTTTCAGTTTCTCCTGAAGATAATCCAACTCTCAGTTAATATAGAAAGCCATCAAAGACTTTATACAGAGGGCCCCCCTGGTGGAGCAGGGGTTAAAGTCTCAGCATTATCAAGCTATCACCAGTCACTGTGGCATAAGTTCAATCCCAGGCAGGGAGCTGGCCCACATGGCGCAGCAGACCTCTCCTGTCTCCCCTACTGCTCCCCTCAACACTGTATTTCAGTAGATCTGCCTGTTCTGCTTCCCATTCTGTCCCGAGTCAATCCTCTCACCCCCTGTACCTCTGGCCTATACCCCAGTGCTTGTATGCATAAATAAATAAAATAAATGTACAAAGAAAAAAACATTATATAGAAATATACAGTGACTTGGTAAGATCTTGTGAATGGAGCGGCAATGAAAGAATACATATTTAGGTCAAACACATTTCCCAGACTTACCCTTCTCCAAGAGAAAAACTGCTATGGGAACTATTAAATCCAGGTGATGGGGAATTATTGACATATGTGATCTCAGGCCATGGAGAACACTAAAAACAAAAGAGAATTGAAACACTGAAAAGTATGTTTGACCCTTACATTCTACCAAAACATTGTAACTAGAATAGTACATCTTGACTAGTAAATCTTAATTCCTCTGAGGCACCCACAGCTGATAGAATATATAATCAAGACAAAATTCTGTCTAGGTGAGATGTGATTTTTTTAAAATTGAAATATAATTGACATATAACATTGTGTTAGTTGTAGGTTCATAATATATTGATTTGATATATCTCTATATTGCAAAATGACTGTATTTTTCTTTCAAGAATAAAAAGCACTGGTTGAAATTACCACCAAGGGAATGCTTTTTACCTCTGTGAGTATAGTTGTCTCATAGGAAGGTTGATATTTCTCCTTTTCGTGAGGAGTTCGTTTCTCCATTTTCTCCCTATCTGTTTTTTGCTTTCTGTCTGCACCTTTGGGCTAAAATGAGAAATATTTTAGTTTAAATTCAAGTATTCACCCTTTGACCCAACAATATTACTCCTGAAAACTTACATGTGAAAGAAAAATATGTGTACACATCACATAAAGACAAGATGCATCATTTTCATTTTTTAAAAATTTTATTTATTTATTTATGTATACATACATACATACATACAAGCACTGGGTACAGTCAGAAGCACGGGAGGGTGAGAGAATTCACCAGAGCCAGAGCGGGGAGCAGAGCAGGCAGAAGGACCGAAGTACACTGTTGAGGGGAGCAGCAGGTGGCAGGAGAGGTCTGTGCGCCATGTGGGACCCTCCTCTGGTGGCCGCGGAGCAGCTGGGGATCAAACCGGCACTGCAGAGGCTGCGGGCAGCTTCGCAACCCAGTGCTCAACCGCTGCACCACCGGGGAGGCCCACATCATTTTCATTTTGAAAACAGAAATTTAAGAGTTTGATAGAGTGGAAGAAGAAATTTATAGCTACTGGTAAGGAAAGATCTTCAAAGCACAGTTAAATGAAAAAAGCAAGCCTCAAGACAATCCATAGAATAAAATCCCACTTGTATTTCAAAGAAAAGAAAACATCTGTATATCTATGCACATGTATATAAAAAAGCACAGAAGGGGAATAAGGGATGCATACTAAATTACCACAGTGGTTGTTTCTGGGAAAAAGTCTGGGGGTCAGGGTAACAGTGTGAAAGGTGTCATGCTTTGGATACTTTTGTATTAATAAATCTTTTGCAATGAAAATATATCTATCCACATGATAAAAATAAGGAACATAGAGAAATAATTAAGTATGAATGTAACCAAAGCTGTCAGCTTTCCATAATTTTTGTGAGCTTTTACAAAAGCTTTTAACTTCAATAGGCTTTAAGAAATTTTAATGTGGGTCTCCCTGGCACAGGTGGTGGTGGAGCGATGTGCTGTGAAGCTGTCCACAGCCTCTGTGGTGTGGGCTCAATCCCAGCCGACCAGGGAGATGCCCACATGGCGCTACAGACCTCTCCTATCTCGCCCACTGCTCCCCTCAACAGTGTATTTCGGTTAGTCTGCCTGTTCTGTTCCCCACTCTGTCTCCAGTGAATCCTCTCACCCTCCCGCACACCTGGCCTGTACCCCAGTTCTTGCATAAATAAATAAATCTTTTTTTTAAAAGGAAAAAGAAATTTTAATGAAAATCCATGTTTTTGTTTCTAGCTCCTTTTTCCTCTTCTCCTATAACCAAGCCTGGTTAAATCTCTTTACCAGGTATCTCAGTAGTTCCTTCAATGATTCAGCTTAGGTTGAGTTTTCACAGTTTTGTTTTTGTTTTTTTTGTGTGTGTGTGGGACCCTTGCCAGTGGCCGGGGATTGAACTGGCGCTGCAGAAGCTGTGGGCAGCCTCGCAACCCAGTGCTCAACCTCTGCACCTCCAGGGGAGGCCTCAGTTTTCATAGTTTTTGAAAAATGACGAGTGAAATTTCTGACTTGGTGTTTAGCAGTAAAAATGAAAGATGAGGGAAAAGGTCCAAGTGTCAAGACAATGCCCAGGAAATACCTTGAAGACTTTGATCTGGCAGCTGGCTGAGTGTAAGTGCTCAGTATATTCCCCATTCTCATTCTCCTTGAAGGTATCAATCTGTACTCGGAAAGGCACTCCCTTTTCCCCACCATGTTTCCTCATGGTGAACTCCGTGCTGATGCAGTGCACCTGGAGAGAGCATAGCACCCAGTGCTCAGGACTGGTGGCCAAACCGGCCGGCAACATTTTGTGAGCAATTACTAACAACGAAAACTTTAAAATGCATTATAAACACCTACAAAAAAAGCTTTTATTCTCTCCTTGATCATGATGAGTTTGCATGCTAACAGAAAAAAAGGGGAAAATTTAAATGATTTACAAATGTAGTAAAGTAAATGTATAGCTCTAGTGCTAACAAAAGCTGCTGTGAAGAATTAATTCATTAACTGTTTCAGAGACTACAGAGTAAACATAAAAGAAATTCGGTTAATAAAAGTCTCCTGAGCTTTAAAGAAAATTTTAGAAAGAGGAGACACCATTTTCAAGGACTCTACCCAAAGGACATAATCCCCAGCTATGTGAATTAAATTCTAAATATGCAGATGTTCAAAATAGCTTCATGGATTATAGTGAAAAATCAGAACAACCTAGATGCTAAAAAAGCATTAGGTAAATTACAGGACACCCAAAGAATAAAATACTATGCTGCTATTAGCAAATATTTTTGGAAACAAAAATAAATTGGAGAGAGCAATTCAGAAACTCCTCATGACTTTCAGATATATGTTGAGAAGCCTGCACTTGATAGGTTGGAACCCTGTAAGATTTGAAATTTAACATGTTTTATCCTTCAAGAAATAAACTGGTAGTAGAGATGCTCTTCACAACTTAACCTCATCTGCAATGCCTTACCTGAATAAATACAGATGTCCTTTTTGCAGGGTCCCACAGGAACTCCACTGTGTTTAGTTGTGTTGGATTAGCTCTCGGATCGATTATACCCACAGACATGGGGATATCTGAGAAACAAAATTGTAAGTATTGAACAACTTTGAAGGCTACTGTGTTTAAATAAGGAAACATGGATTCCCATATTATCAGTCCCTGTTTACCAAGACTTTTGTGTATCACACCCTAAACAAACCTCTTCTGCCAAAGAAAGTGGTTTGATTAGAGCTAAATTTTAAAATTTAAGCTAATTTAGAAACAGCTTCCCATTGATTTGCCAATATTCTACTTAAAGATAGATTAAATCTTCACACTAACTCATGAAAATTTTAATTTATAATCTGCTTCACTTAGTTTTAAGATTAGTGTTGCTGCAGAAGTACACTGAAAGGATTGCTGTAGAAGGATAAAGAGTATCTGAAAAAGACAGAAGGCACTGTATCACAAATAGAAGTGGGGAAAATTTAACATAAGGATTGATGCTAACTTGTACAGTCATCAAATAACCTTAAAAAGGAATGACATATCTTATATTCAAGAGGGAAGCAAAAATGAATGTACTTTAGAACTCTGCTTTCCATTTCACATGACATATTTTGAAATAGCATCCCTTGACGTCTATTCATATTGAAACTGGAAAGATAAAGCCAGGTTGATAATACTTATTATTGTAACTATGCTACAACTAAACTACTATTGTAGTTTCAATGATTCAAGCAAGAAAGCAGTAAGTGGGTCCCCCTTCACAGTGTTAATTAATTGGATTCATCCTGAAGTCAATTTATCAAATGGACATCTATATGAGAACCACTGTTTTCTCAGATAAACCTGGTGGTAGCTATTTATAACAACTCTATAGTCCAATAGGAGGTAATAACCGATAGGAGATCGAAGACACAGATACCAAATTTAAAGCACATTCATAAAGAACAGCTAAATCTGTGTAAAAAATCCTTCCCCTACTCCCTATGATTTGAGAAAAATAAAATTCTACTCTGTGAAGCCAAGTAGGGAAAAATCCTGACCTCAAACAAGAGACAGATTCTAATCACAGATCTCTTTTGGTAAGACACACTATTTTTTTTTTTTTTTTTATAGAGGCATGTTTATTTATTTATTTATTTATTTATTTGTTTGTTTGTTTTTGTTTATACATGCACTGGGTACAGTCAGAAGTGCGGGAGGGTGAGAGAATTCACCAGAGCCAGAGCGGGGAGCAGAGCAGGCAGAAGGACCGAAGTACACTGCTGAGGGGAGCAGCGGGCGGCAGGAGAGGTCTGCGCGCCATGTGGGACCTCGCTGGTGCCGGGGAGCAGCCGGGGATCGAACCGGCGCCGCAGAGGCCGCGGGCAGCTTCGCAACCCAGTGCTCAACCGCTGCGCCACCGGGGAGGCCCAAGACACACTATTAATCTGGCCTTCTAGTAAAATAAAATAACTTTCAGCATAATGAGAAAAAAACTGGCCCTTTTACATATTACTCAAAACAAAATATGAAGTCTTGAATAGGGCCTCCCCAGTGGCTCAGCGGTTGAGCACTGGGCTGCAAAGCTGCCTGCAGCCTCTGCAGCGCTGGTTCAATCCCCAGCTACCGGAGAGGGTCCCACATGGCGCGCAGACCTCTCCTGCCGCTGTCAGTCTGCCTGTTCTGTTCCCCGCTCTGTCTCTGGTGAATCCTCTCACCTGCCCCCCCCTCCCCGCACATCTGACTGTACCCAGTGCTTGTACAAATAAATAAATCTAAAAAAAAAGGTTATTAAAAAATAAAGTTGCCTCTCCTTTAAAAAATAAATGAAGTCTTGAATAGCCAAAACAATTTTGGAAAAAAAAAAAAGTTGGAGATCTCTTTTTTCCTGGTTCTACAAAATTGCAGTTAGCAAAATAGTGTGGTATTTCATAAAGATAGTCATGAAGATCAATGAAATAGAGACCCCAGAATCTATCCCCACATATTTGGTCAAATGATTTGAATTTCTGACACACGCAAGAATTTCTGACACATGCTTGCCCCTTATGGTAAGTAAAATAAGTCAATCACAAGACAAAAATGGATTATTTCACTTACATGAATTACCTAGAGGAGTCAAATTCAAACAAAAAAGTAGGGGGTTGGAAGAGGAGGGAATAGGGAGCTATAGTTTAAGGAACAAAGAGTTTACTGAAAGGATGGTAGTGATGGTAGTGATGTGAATGTACTTTATGCTACTGGACTGTATTACTTAAAAACTGTTAAAATGGTGAATTTTACGTTAAGCATATTTTACAGCTAAATGCAAAAAAAATAAACTAAAATATCACCCTGCAGTAATGGGTACAATTTTTATGAATTTTAATTGTTTACACTTCTAACTTCAATTTTTTTTTTAAAAAAAGATTTATTTATTTTATACAAGAACAGGGATACAGGCCAGATGCGTGGGAGGGTGAGAAGATTCACCAGACAGAGCAGGGAGCAGAACAGGCAGAATGTCAAAATACACTGCTGAGGGAGCAGCGGGCGGAAGGAGAGGTCTGCCATGCCATGTGGGACCCTCGCAGGCCGGCCGGGATTGAACCAGCGCTGCAGAGGCTGTGGACAGTTTCACAGCGCTGCGCTCAACCGCCTGCACCACCAGGGGAGGCCCCTAACTTCAACTCTGATTCATCAAACCGTTAATTTTTTATGCTTAGTCAATAACCACTTCCATATTCATGTTATCTGAACCTCTACAGCACTGTGAATCACAACATCAAGTAAGAAAAACCAATTTTCAATCCACAGTTATAGGCATATCTTGGGCAACAGATTCTCTTATCTTACCTATGTCAAGGATCCTGTCTCCGGGTCGGTTCCATCTCCAGCCCTCCAGTTGCTGGTGTTCTGTGTACTGTAGCCGTCTGTCATGGAAAACTACTCGGAATATACTCTAAAAAGAAGCAATAAGACAATAGAATCTCTTAAAAAGTCAGTGCTGACAAAGGGAAACCAGCAGGAATTACTCTGTTGGTTCCTAGACACAATCTGAAACCATTTTTCTTAAGATGTTTTTACTCTAAAACCATACCATATCAAAAAAAAAAAATATATATCAGATCAAGCTCTATTTCCAGGTAAACTTTTTAATTGCTCAGTTATAGTTAACTGGTACTGTATTTAAAATTTGGCTTAAACATTAATCCTGATGGTAACTAGGCATAGGGATGCCTATTAGAAACATTTCTACATGCTTCTGTTTCCATGTAATAATATCCAGCTCAGCTTTTCATATGTATTGAACACTTACCAAGTCCCCTGCTTGTTAACTCACCATACAACATGTAAATACTGAAAGCAGGTATGGGCTGTATCCATCAACTTTTCTTTGGTTACTTACTTTGTAGAGGTACCTATTAATATCCCTCCTATTCCTCTTTTATATCTGCTAACTAAACTCTGTTCCAACTGTGTTGTGAATTTTTAAAATCATGACTGTAAGTCTAGATTAAAAAAACAGTTATTCATCAATGGTAGCTGGAGCTACCACTGGAAAGAAGTTACTTGATTCTACCTGAAAAAAAGAAAAAAAAAAACCACTTCACTGAGCCAAGAGACTACCCCGACATGGGTTGGTAAGCCGCCTGTTTCTATAGCTCTGAAATATCCATGTGACTAGAGAGGCTCACTCTAATCCCAAAGAAATAACACATCAGTTCACCACAGTGCCAGCAAGTTGTGACAGGTGAGCAGTAACACCAAGTTCCTTGGTATCTCTTTTTTTTTTTTTAGCAAAAGAATAGTATCCAAAAAGGGTCAGTGAAAGGATATTGTGCAGAGGAATACTGTGCTCATTTTCCTTTACCTTCACTAACTTGCCATTAATTTCTGGAAGTTCTCCAAGTTTCCTATTATCTAGCATTCGAATTTCATAGGACTGTCCTAGAAGAAAAATATAATGACATATTATATTCATCACAAATTAACTTTGCAAGATACAAAAAGAATAAAATTCATTTGGTAGAATATGCAAGGGTAAAATATTATTAGTATTAGTAACAGCAACTGTAATCCTTTACTATATGCTAGGTACCATGCTAATAATCATTTTCATACATTATATTATATAATTGATACAACTCCCTGAAAGTTATACAATCTCATTTTTATAGATAGGAAAACTGAAACATAAGAGTTTAAACAATTTTTTCAAATCCACACAAATGGTAAATAACAGAGCTGGATAAGGTAATACTTCTCAGATAGTAACCAATAGTGGGGGCCTCCCCTGGTGGCACAGCGGTTGAACGCTGGGCTGCGAAGCTGCCCGCAGCCTCTACAGCGCCGGTTCAATCCCTGGCCACTGGCGAGGGTCCCACATGGAGCAGCAGACCTCTCCTGCTGCCCACTGCTCCCCTCAGCAGTGTATTTCAGTAAATCTGCCTGCTCCGCTCTACCCTCTGGTGAATTCTCCAACCCTTCCACGCTTCTGACTGTACACAGTGCTTGCATAAATAAATAAATAAATCTTAATAAATAAATAAATAAATAAGTAAAGTAACCAATGGAGGTATCTAAGAGATGTGGATTAGAAAGAAAGAGGAACTAAAATGGACAGATAGACAAAGGAAGCAAGTAACATATATCAAATGTGGGCCTCCTTGGTGGCGCAAGGGATAGAGCGCCGCACTATGGGGCAGTCCACAGCCTCTGAAGCACGAGTTTGATTCCCGGCCGGCCAGGGAGCAACACACATGGCACAGCAGACCTCTCCTGTCTCGCCTGCTGCTCCCCTCAGCAATGTATTTCTGTCAGTCTGTCTGTTCTGTTCCCCGCTCTGTCTCTGGTGAATCCTTTCATCCCCCGCATCTCTGGCCTGTACCCCAGCTCTTGTATGCATAAATAAATAAATCTTTAAAAAAATATATAACAAATGTGATATTAAGACTCAAATCTCTGAAGTAAGGTTTCAATTTTAACAGGCACACTAGAAATATGCAGTTTTGGGCCTCCCCTGGTGGTGCAGCGGTTGAGCGCTGGACTGCAAAGCTGCCCACAGCCTCTGCAGCGCCAGTTTGATCCCTAGCCGCTGGCGAGGGTCCCACATGGTGCACAGACCTCTCCTGCCGCCCCCCCAGCAGTGTATTTCGTTGGACTGTCTGTTCTGTTCCCTGCTCTGGTTCTGGTGAATTCTCTTACCTTCCTGCGCTTCTGACTTTACCCAGTGCTTGTATAAATAAACAAACAAACAAACAAACAAATAAATAAATAAATAGATCTTTAAAAAAAAAAAAAGAAATATGCAGTTTTACATATTGGGGAACCTAATAAAGGATCATGAACCCACATGTTTGCAATAATACTAATGAATAAGGAAGCAGCTAACCTTGATTGAGATATGTTAGGGTTTCATCATGTAATTTCACTGCTGGCGAGGTAGCAGCACAAAGCACATATTGAAAAGGTAGGATTTTATTCTCATTATCAGGAGGCAAACTTGACTCTTCTTGCTTGAAAATGGGCAATGCGAGGACATCACTGAAATAAAACAAATGACTTCACATTAACATCTGACAATAGTGCAAGAGCAGATTTGTTGTTTAAGTATTTAACTTCGGTCTGCTTTGGAAAACTATAAACATTACTCTAGTTCAGATTACCTGCTCTGATAATCCCTTGACCACAACAATGTAGGCAATGACAGTTACTCACTGCTCAAAAAAAACCTAAATGTTCAAACAGAGAAGTTTTTTTGGAATCAGACCAGAGTTCCTAAAAGGGCTTTGCGCATTATATGCAGAGTTCTAAAATGTTAATTTAGGTCACTCAGTGATGTATTTTTTCTCTGAAAGGTACCAACCATAATATCTTCATAACCACATCAGCTGATTTAAGAACTAGAGTCAAGAATTTCTAAAAGCCACATGAAAAAATACAAATCAATGACTATATATTTCAAGGTCAGATTATATTCTGTTAATACAACTGATAATAAGAGATCACTATCAGTTACCTCCTCTGAGAAAAAGATTCATATACCCTTATCAGTTTATCTAAGCCTGCAAACCAAAGAGACATAATGAATGAATTCTAGTACTGTGCTACTCATTCTGTGAAAGTAGTGGACCAAGTTAGAAGTTCTAGATTTTGGTCACCAAAACCTTAAGCAACCTCTTGCGTCTTCATTTATAATGAAGAATGGGAACAATGGGAACCCCATTTGCAGTCAAGAGTGGCTATATGAGAAAATACTTGGGAAATCATAAGATATTCAAATGGATGTACAGGGTTACCAATAACTTTTTCTCTTCAGCTCTAGCCAGGGAAAGCCAAACTCTAGCCATCAGTGGGAAAGACTGTCCTGGGCCTTAGAGTCCTATAGTCATGATCGGTATTTATCCCAAACCAAATGTTAAAAGGATCTTAAAGAGATGCACCAAATTAAAGGGTATTTCCAATTATCTCAAGACATGCCATAAAAGTCTCAAAATAAAATGTATTTTAATAGAATATGTATAGCTGCACACTAGACCAGCTAAAATTAAAGAGAATGACAACCTAAATGTTGATAAGGATCAGGAGCAACCAGGACATTCTCATCCTTTGCCAGTAGGAATGTAAAATGACACAACCACTTTAGAAAAAGTTTGGCAGGTTCTTAGAAAAGTAAACATGCATTTTTCCCATCAACCTAGAAATTCTTCTTATAGGTATTTAGCCAAGAGAAAAGAACACATAAGTCCACCCAAAGACTTGTACATGAATATTCATAGCATAAAAGCAAAAAGTAAAAAGAATCTAATGTTCTTGATTAAGAGGATGCATGCACAAAACTACTCAGTAAAACAAAGGAATTCCAACAACAGGCTTCCTGGAAGGGCAAGGATTGATTTGAAAGGTATGAAAGGGAACTCTCTCAGGAGATAAAAACAGCTAGTACTTTATTGGGTGTGTGGATTTCATGGTTATAATTGTACAGCTGAAATGTGTGCATTTAAATATATATAAATTTGGGGCCTCCCTGGTTGCTAGTGTTGTTAAGTCTCAGCACTATCATGGCCACAGCCTGAGTTCGACCTGGCCAGGGAGCTAACCCACAATGGCTGGCATAGAAGACCTCTCCTGTCCTCTGCTGTTCCCCTCAGCAGTGTATTTCAG